TGCCTCTCGGAGCAGGAGGAGGCACCCCCATGCCTCCACCCTGGCCTCGCGTTCCCCTCCCCAGACATGATGGCGCCGTAAAAAAATCAGGACGGGAGGCTTTCGCTATGTTTGGCGTCTAGGGGCCCTCGCCAGGCCCCTGGACTGTCAAAAACGACTCAGGATGAGAAACCGGCCCCGAGAAAAGGGTCGAGACTTCCGGGCCGGTTCCGGGGACGCCGTCCTGAAAAAAACAGGACGTCGCATGTCTGGGGAGGTACCCCCATGCCTCCACCCTGGCCTCGCTTTCCCATCTGTTGGGCCTCCTGGGAGGCCCTCGTCGCCACCGCTGGATTCGCGGAGCAGCGGCGCACCCTCGGGGAGGTCCGCGGAGCAGCGGCGTAGGTGCCTTTTGGCTTCCCCTGCCTCGTCTCGTCTTCCAGCTGGCCGATGAGATCGGTGATGCGCCGCCGCTGCTCGTCCATCGCCTCGCACGGCGCCGGACCAATGGATATACAGCGAGCGCCCAGGAGGGGAAGTGAGGAGAGGCAGGCATTCTCGGGCGGCGGGGCTTTGCACAAGCCCTCCGGCCTTCTGAGACACAGTGGGGACCCATGCCAAGAAACACCCTGCTTGCCTCCAGGGTGCCCTGGGCTTCTTGGGTCTCGATGATTTTGCCATGGACAGCGCGACGTTCCCACGCCACAGATCAAGGGACGTCCTGGGGTCCCAGGGTTTCCTGTGGACTGGCCTCCACTGCAGCTTCTGTGCCGTCGGGGAGGCTTCAAGCACTCGCCGTCAGAAGGCCAAAGGCCTCCTGGGCCTTCTGAGCAGGCCCGCCCCTCCCCTCGGCTACACGCAAGAGCGACCCTGGGCAAGAGTGACCTTTGGTGCGCGACTCTTTGGGACCGCGGGGGGGCCAAAAGCGAATGCGCAAGCCGCGGCTACCGCTTCTCTTTCAGCCACCTGGGGGCGCGCCTGTGCCCGCACCAAAGGTCACTCCGGCGAAAGGTCACTCTTACGCCTGGTCGATCCTCGCTTCCCCCCCCCCTGGGCTCGCCGCCGAGCTCGAGGCACCAGGCGAGCGGTCCCCGAGGGGCGACGCGTTGCCCTGGGCCCCGGGGCCTCCCCGCAGGACCGGGGAGCCGCTCCTCGACGGCCCTCCTGGATAATCGAGGGCTCCTCCGGAGCTGTCTCGGGGGCCTCTTGGAAATCTCTTCGGCCGTCTTGGGGCGATGTTGTAGGCTCCTGGGGCCGTTTTCGACGACGCGGTCGACGCCGAAGATGTGAATATCTTGAAAAAGTACGTTTTACGAGGGGAATGGGGCCATTTTTGCTTCCGGAGGCGCTCTTGGCCTGGGGGGCCTGTGGAGGGTCCCCCCCCCAGTGGGCCCGAAGACGCCGAGCTCCGGCGCTGCGACAAAGAAGTGCCGCGTCTAGGGTCAAGTCGGGCGTGTCCCCCTACAGAGGGACTCTCGACGAAAAGTAAAACAGATGCAACAAATATTCCAAGATGGCCCAGAAATGCTCAAGAAATAGTCCCCCGATTCATTTTTCTACTATTTCTGGATACTCCCCCTGTAGAGGGACAGGCCCGACTTAAGTCTAGGGGGGACGAAGGATGACAGAAACATGAAAACTCGGTGGTCCGCGCGGCTTCCTCGGATCGGCGCTGGACCCCTCCCTGGCACGCGGAGCGCGCCAGGGGCGGCGCCGGAGGCGCCGCCAGGGGGGTCCAGCGCGGATCCGAGAAATCCGCGCGGACCTCCGAGTTTTCATGTTTCTGTCATCCATCGTCCTCTCTACGTGGACGTCGCGAGAACCTCGTTTTGTTCGCCCCCACAATACAGTGCGGGCGCGGCCGCAAGAAACCCTCGCAAGAAACCCACCCCTGAAAACCCGCGCGAGAGGTGCACCCGAGGGGAAGCCCGGAGCACCCTGAACGCAGCAGCTCCTTCGACGGCTGCGGGAAGCCACCGCACAGCGCGCGGAGCGAAGAAACCCAGGATACCCCGACGAAAAAGAATCTGGTCTGTGGAGGTCGACGGCTGCAGGAAGTCACCGCGCAGCGCGCGGAGCGAAGAAACCCAGGATACCCCGACGAAAAGCGGATGGTTTGAGAAGGAGGAGGAGCAGGAGGAGGAGGAGGAGGTGGAGGAGGAGGAGGAAGAGGATGAGGAGGAGAAGGAGGTGGAGGAGGAGGGGGAGAAGGAGGAGGAGGAGGAGGAGGGAGGAGGAGGAGGAGGAAGGGAGAGATGGAGGAGGAGGAGGAGAGGAGGAGGAGGAGGAGGAGGAGGAGGAGGAGGAGGAGGAGTTTATGGAGTAAGGAGGAGGAGGACGAGGAGGAGGACGAGGAGGAGGACCAGTGTAAACCCAAGAGTCATCAACGATATTTGAGTAAACCCTCCCTCCAAGCTCCCTCTTCATAGGCCCCCACAACGGCTCATTTCCATTGATGGAACAGACGCTCGTCTCAAGATCCAGAAGCATGCCCAAACATTGTTCTCGGGAGTCCAACGCCACGGATCAACCTGACTGTTGCGTCTTGACGATCCTGAATCGTGCCAGAACGCCATTCCCAGGACTTCAACTCAGACAATCAACGTACCTGTTGGGCCCGCATAATCCAGAATCCTTCCAAAACACAATTTCTGGTACGCTGATGATGGGAATCCGTAAAACCCTTGCAAATGTCTAAAACGAATGTGTTCGGCGCTAAGGAGAGAGCCGCATTCTAAAAAAGAACCACCCTCAATCCGTTAAACTCTTGCAGAATTTCTAAACGAATGTGCGCCGCGCTAAAGCGAGAACCACATGTTCAAAAGGACTCGCCCCCAATCCGTGAAACTCTTGCAATGTTACTAAACGAATGTGCGCCGCGTTTAAACGAGAGCCACATTGTGAAAACCACTCGCCCTCAATCCGTGAAACTCTTGCAATGTTTCTAAACGAATGTGCGCCGCGGTAATGCGAGAGCCACATTTTGAAAACCATCCGCCCTCAATCCGTGAAGCTCTTGCAATGTTTCTAAACGAATGTGCGCCGCGCTCAGGCGGGAGCCACATTTTGAAAACCACCCGCCCTCAATCCGTGAAGCTCTTGCACTTTGTTTAAAGAATGTGCGCCGCGCTACGGCGAGAGCCGCATTTTGAAAACGTCCCGCCCTCAATCCGTGAAACCCTTGCCACTTTTTAAGCTTCGGAATCAGAAGCGGTGAGGAGGTCTCAGGCGACATGCCTGGCCCGCCCTACAAACTTGCCTCGGGGTGCAACAGGGAAAAGTTATCCACAAGGAAAAGGAATGGAGGAGGATTGAGGAGGAGGAGGAGGAGGAGGAAGGAGGAGGAGGAGGAGGACAAGAAGCATATGGCGTCTTGATGCGCGCCCCCGGTCTGGAGGTCTGGGGGTCGGCGCCGCCCGGTCGCCGCGGTCTCGTCCGCCAGCCGCACCTCGGCGGCGCGCGCGCTCCTCTCGCGCTCGTCGGCCTGCGCCTCGCGCGCCTGCAGCTCCGCGTGCGCCCGCTCCTGGCGTGGGGGAGCGCATCGGCGGCGCGGGGGCAGGATGGAGGCAGGATGGAGGCAGGAGGAGCAGGAGGAGGAGGAGGAGGAGGAGCAGGAGGGGGAGGAGGAGGAGCAGGAGGAGGAGGAGGAGGAGCAGGAGGAGGAGGAGAAGGAGCAGGAAACGGAGGAGGAGATAGGAGGAGGAGGAGCAGCAGGAGGAGGAGGAGGAGGAGCAGGAGGAGGAGGACCCCCCTCGCGTCGCGGAAAACGCATTGACGCACCGTGTCTGGCGTGGGGGAGCGAGCCTGCGGCGCGCCCCAGGCCCTCTTGCTGGCTCTTGCGAGTCGACGCCAATCGATGCGAGTCGACGCCAAACCGGCGCTGAACGGCGCTGGCCGACGCGCATCGACGCTGAGTTGGCGCTGCCCCATCGGCTCCCCAACGCTCATCGACGCTAATCGACGCGAGAGGCGGGATCACGAGGGCACACAAGGCTCCCGTGCTCCAGTGATTTGCTACCGAAGGACCCCCCTCGCGTCGCGGCAAGAGCATGCCGCACCGTGCCTGCCCATCTGCGGCCTCTGGGGGCCCTCCCTCGCCAGGCCGCGGGACGGTCGAACAACGTCTCGGGGTGCCAGGACCGGCCTCCGGGAAGGGGTCGAAGCCCCTGGGGGTCCACGCATGGACAGCTCCAAGACAACGGAAGACACGGCAGCGCGCCCAGGGGGCCAACGCCCGGGAGGACCTGGAGCAGCACAACACGGCACGGACAGGCACGCGCTGCCGGAGCTCCGCGCAAGTTCCTCGGGCCGGCGCCGGACCTCCCTGGCGGCGCCCTCTGGCGCCGCCCCTGGGTGCGCTCCGCGCGCCAGGGGAGTGGGGCCCCGCTTCCCGCGGTCCGCATGCCGCCGCGGCGCAATGACATCGACAGGGCTTCCGCAGCTCGTCGTGCGACCCCCCAGAGTGTCGAAGCACGAGCGTGCGGAGCTACAGTGTCAATGCCGCGCTCTCTATTGTAGCTTTGCTGTGCTCCTGCACGCAACGTGCACCGCCAGGGGCGGCGGAGAGCTCGAGAGATCCACCTGCCAAGAGGGCCCAGCACCAATCCAAGAAATCCGCGCTGGCCACCGACAGCTTGCGCCGATGCTGCTCGTGTCACCCTCGAGGAGAGCGAGGGGGGCCCAGCGCCGACCCCAGGAAGCCGACCTCCGAGAACCTGTTGCAGCCGGACTCGGTTGGAGAGGGCACGCGAGAGGACACCGGGCCCCTCGGAGGGCCACGTTGCCATGGGACTGCGGAAGGCATGGGCAGCGAGACACAGGACACAAGGCTTACCCTTGACTCGGCAGGGTCGGCGTCGCTTGGTTGGCGCCTTCAGGTCAGAGCTGTGAAGGTACCCCGAGATCTGGACGGTGTATGTTTTTCGCACCGGGCATCCTCGCCTGGTTTCAGGCCCCAAGACCCTCACAAATCGATCCCGATCCCGCTCGAGAAATGCCACAAGAGGCTGGGGTCTGGGGCCCCAGCGCTACTTTTGCGATATTTTCGCAACGTCGGATCTCAGGGCACATTGGCACCCCTCCCTATGGCCGATGTCGTTGGCTGAGGGGCCGTATGGAGGGCCCGGGGAGACGGCTCGGGCTGACCGGCCTTCCGCGAAGCCGTCCGAGACCTTCTCCGAGGCACCGCCGCGTATCTGAGAACGCCTGCCGCCGCAAACCGCGCCGAGGAGGAGGATGATGATGATGATGATGATGAGGAGGAGGAGGAGGAGGAGGAGGAGGAGAAGGAGGAGGAGGAGAAGGAGGAAGAGGAGGGGGAGAATGTGAGGAGAACGAGGAGCAGGAGGAGGAGGA